AAAGATAACATGAGTCAAATAACACATACTGATTTTTAATAATTATATGAATAATTTAGAGGATAATGGGCTAGAAAGTTGGAAGACAGATGCAAAGGTGGCACATATTAAGTCAACAAAGTTTCTTGCAAGATCAGATTCATTAGACAGAAAGGGAGACTGCTACATTAAGGAGGGTGACCCAAGGAAAAAACAAGAAAAGCAACAAATAAATGTATAAGCAGAGTTAAAATCTGTTATCTAACAGTTATGTGTTACTGGAGTTTTATGCCCTAGGACTAGCACTTGATCTGCTGGAGCCATTAGATTAAGTACCAAAGTACCACAGCTTAAGTGGCATGTTCATGACAATCTACAAAAGGAGAAAGAAACTTGCAGCCTATAATGGAGGCCAGTATAATATTGAGATTAAACAGTAAAACTCATGAGTTAGGATCAAGTAGAAATGGAGGGAAGAAAGAAAAGTTCAAATAATATGAAATCTAAACTAGGTGACTAACTATAACTGTAGTGCAAAATACTGAGGTTATGCCAAGGCAAGATTTGGGTAGAAATGCCGAAGGGATAAAATCTATTCTACTTCACATATTAACCACTATTTATAGGATGGGGAACCATAATAAAGAACTCCACTACAGGATCTGGGGTGCCTAGCTTTTTCATCTCAAGGATGAATACTGACAAGATGTTACACACACCCCGACACTAGAACAGAGGACTAAGTGAGGAGGAACCAATAAGTGCTTCTGGCTGACGATGTTTCTCCCTCACCAAAGTTGGAGTACCAGAGTGAAAATACTGTCCTCAGATTTCTCCTGATACTGTCTTCATAAGTCTATCCATACCTTGTTGTTCCTCACCAGAAGCAGATAAACCATATCCTCCAAGAGGCAAATAGGGTTGGGACCCAGGCAGAATGAAATGACATCTATTCAAAAGACAGAGAACATGCAGAAGGAAGAGACAGGGAAATTCTAAAAGGAAGGCAAAACCTTTGGAAACTGGGTTTCCTATAGGATGGTAGGATCTATTTCTAGGGGCCTCTGTGCCTAAATTGTTTTGGACCCCAGTTAATAATCCACTAAGCTAGATGGCACAGCGGATAGAGATCCAGCCTTGGGAAGTCAGGAGGACCTGAGTTCAAATCCATCCTCAGACACCTGACACTTACTAGCTGTGAGACCTTGAGCAAGTCACTTAACCCTGACTGCCTCACCTTCTCCCCTCCCCCCCAAAAAAATCCTAAGTTCTATCAATCTTATCCTCCTTGACCTGAGCAGAGCCTAGCCCCTGCTCCTATCCAACCTCATTCCCCAATTCATTACAGCACAGCCCAATAGGGAATGGACACAAGTGGTCCTACGAACAGTACAAAAAGATACACAAGCTTAAAATGACATTTTTTTGGGTATCATACAATGGAAAGACTATGAATTTGGAGTTAGAAGACCTGGGTTCAATTTTCAGCTGTTACTTAACACCCATGTGTTAAGATTAGACCCTTAGACATGCTACTTAAATTCAATTGTGCAAAGAAAATTTAAAGCAAAATACACTGAATAACTGGGAAGATCAGAGAAGGCATTACAGAGGGATGTTTCCTGAGCTGAACTTTGAAGGAGGTAAAAATTCTGAGAGGGAGAGATGGTGGGGGAGGACTCCATTCCAGGCACATGAGATGATTTATCTTTAGGTAGTGAGGCAGGGATGGAATATCAAAGTTTTACCTTTTAACCTCATTGGTAAAAAAAAAAAAAAGAGCAGATTAGACCATCCAACTCTGAAGCCTGTCATCTATGATTTTCCTATGACCCAGGACAGAAAGAAATAATCACTTCCTAAGAAGTGAAGACCCATATCCTCCCACCTAGGGAATTCTCATCTTAACTAGGATCAGGATAGGATGCTATTAATTTGTACATACATCACATGTTGCTAAACCAAGAATATTTCACCCCTCTTACACAAAGGCATTCTTGGAATGCCTATCAAATCCTACCATAATCATTTATGCTCATGTTCTGAAGTGGGATGGAAGCTACTGCAATAGCCCAGGTGAGAGGCAATGAGGGCCTGAACTAAAATGCTATCTATGTGACTAGAAAGAAGGCAACAGCACAGACTCCAATCAAAAGTTTCTACTCTCTGAACACACTCACTAACTGGCAAAAAGTAAACTGGAAAGCCAAGGGTCACGCTAGGTAAATAAGTAATATCATCCTAAGATGAAATATGTGTTGTTTTTAAACAGAGATTGACCATATTACCTCCCTTGCAGAGTTGAAGAGAAAATCTAAAAACATATAGGAAAGTTAAGAATCAAAGTGCATCAAAATTGCCTTAACCATATATAAGTGTATTTGAGAAGAATGTAGCATTAAGCTTAGTGGAAAAAAAACACCCCATCTCAATTCAGTGCTTCTGTAAGAAAACTATATAATTTTATTTTAAAAGAAAAAACTGGAGCTACTTCCCTGAGAAACTAAATAAACCTTATATTGTAACTTTTTTTTTTTAATCTGAGGAGGAGACTATAATCACTCACCTCATCTGTTTGGTATCTTTACCTCTAACTTACAGAGTCTCTATTTAGGCTTCCTATACCATGCTCAACTAAAGATAACAAAAAAGGACTTGGATTAGAGTCAGTAAGATATGGGCTCAAATCCTAGATTCACCCCTGACTAGCTATGTACACTGGCAAGCCAGAGCTACTTCCATTTATTATGTATAAAATGTCCTGCCTACTTTCTAGAGTTTAAGATCAGTCAAACTCAAACGGAACTAGATCCTTGGTGGCCACCACACAATGACTTAGAAAATCACAAATTAACATCATCTGTGTTGTATTGCATTTTTAAAAACCTTTTCTAATTATAGTTTAAGCCTTATGATTTTGACACCTCTGCTGTACAGGATTAATGCTGTTTACAAAAATGAATTGGGCAGGGTTATTCAGCTAGTTAAAATACTGACTCCAAGTCCAGTGCCTTTCCCACTTAAATCATATTGCCTTTCATTCAAAAAGCAACTAAAATGCCAAAAGACATTCCACCACTAAGATTGCTACCAGTTGGGTGACCCTGGACAAATAACTTATCCCCATCTATAAAATAAAGATAATCTGTGCTCCCTGCCTACCTCATAGGCATTATTCACTTCCTAAACCCACCTATCCTCCAAATTTGTACATTTCTAAGGGACAACCATCTTCCACTGCCATTTATCCAGGCTCATAAAGTCTTATCCTTGTCAATTCCCTTCCTCACCTCCCAAATCCAGTAAACTGCCAAATCTGGTCAATTCTGCCCCTAGAATATGCATGGAATCTGTCCCCTTCTCCACTCACACAGCCACCAATTTGGTTCAGATCCTCATCACTCCTTGCCTATGCTACTACATTTAACAGCCTCTTAACTAGTTTCTTTGTTTCTAGTCTCACCCCTAATCTATCTCCACAAAACTGTCAAAATAATCTTTCTGAGTCTGATCATTCTAGCCAAATCAAAATCATCAACGGCTCCCCCACGCCTAAAAGATAAAATGCAAACTCCTCAGCCTGTAATTTAAGGTCTTTAACAACCTAGCTCCAACCTAGTGGTCCAGCCTTATGCCATACTAGTTCTCTTCATGAACTCTACATTCCAGCCAAAATGGACTATTAACTGTTCCTCAAGAACCTTGATATTCCATACCTGCCTCACTACCTAAAGATAAATCATCTCATGTGCTTGGAATGGAGACCCCCATCATCTCTCCCTCTCAGAATTTTTACTTCCTTCAAAGTTCAGCTCTGGAAACATCCTTCTGTAATGCCTTCTCTGATCTTCCCAGTTGTTCAGTGTATTTTGCTTTAAATTTTCTTTGCACAACCTTTCCCCATTCCCAAGAAAATGTCATGGACAGCAGGTATCATATACCTAAAGGAAGCTTCAGAGCCCATCCCACACCTCTTTTACAGAAAAGGGAACTGTGGGGCAGAAGGGGAAAATTAAGTGGCTTGCCAAAGATCATCTAAATGTAAGTCAGATTTAATCCCAGGTCCTCCTACTCTAGAGCCAATGATGTATCAAGTAGCTTGAAGGGTGTTTTTGTATCCCTATCACGCTGCAGGATCTTAAGGAAAATGCCTTGACTTGACTAACTGTAACAGTTAAAACAAAAGTCACAACCTCTCAAAAATACTTTGATAGTTCGGTTTTATTGTACCTATTATGCACCACATGGGTTTAATAGTTGCAGCAAATGCAGTCGAATGACTCAAACACCACCAAATGGTATCTCCTACCTGAGTTGGGCCTTTCACAACTGAAGGCCTTTCAGCAGAGGCAGATTTGGGGTGCTTTCCTTCCTGCTCTTACGGATATAGCTAGAAAGTCCCCTTTCCCACTCCCGGATTTACACTTAATTTATTCCTTACTTAACAGAGATGAAAACTACAAACGGATTAGCAGGAAGGGGAAACCCCTGGCGAGAGCCTGAATGCTTGTGGGGGAGGGGCGTGCAGCGTGTTTCCAACGTGGTGGGTGCAGGAGGCCGGAGCCAGGGTGACCGGTTGACAGGAACAGTGAAGAGGAGGTAAAGGGGGTACGATAGGTTGGGGGAGGGGTGCGGAATTCAGAGTTTTAATCAGGGTTGCCCAGGGGAGCTCAGGTCGATCTAAGTTCGGGCTGAGCACGCCGGAGGAGGCGAGCCGGACTCCCGCGGGCAAAGCGAGACCCGTGGCTGGAAAAAACTACCGGCCGCCGTCAGTGGCGAGCGGCCCGCGTGGACAGAACGGCAGCAGGCGGGCGGGCCCGTCCGCTCCGGAGATCCTCCCGGGGCAGGCAGGCGGTGCTCCACGGCAGGCCCCGCTCCTCCCCGCGGCTACCGGCTCCCGCTGGGACCGCACGCCCCCCGCGCACCGCCCGGCGAGGGTTGGCCTCGCGCCCCTGCACCCCCCTCACCCCAGCTCCACGCGCCCCCTCACCCCAGCTCCGCTCCCGCGCCTCCAGCCTTACCTTGGCCAGCGACCGCGGCGGGGCCCAGGCCAGGCAGGTGCAGGTGGCGCTGAGGTGAGCGGAAGGAACGAAGTCCTGGTGGAGGCGGCTGCTGGCTGTCTCCCACACCCGCAAGTGACCATCCGGACCGGCTAACGAGAAGTAATGCTGGCCCCGCGGAGAGAAAGCACAGGGAATCCCGGACTGGGCCAGGGGTCGCGGCGGCCTCCGCCACTCGCCGCCATTGCTCTTCTGGCCCCGCAGCAGCCACGTGTTCGGCCGCGCGCATGCGCAGCCGGCTTGGGCGGGGTGTGTGGAAAGGAAGCTGGCCCAGACTGGACCGGGGGTGGAGGGGCGGGGCTTCGGCATAGCTCGGCGCGCCTGCGCGCGGCGGCCGCGACTACTTCAGGTTTATTGACTTTCAATTGGGAGGTGCTCGGAAAAGCGAAGGCTCTCACCCCTTTTTTTTTTCTGACGAGGAAATTGACGTCCGGAGAGGTTGTCTCCTGCCCAAAGCCACATAATTATGTGCTAAAGGAATTTGTACCCAAATCCTCTGACTCCAGACAAGAGAGATTGTTCTCTTGTGTTTCTTTATGTACAATCTGGGGCTCCTATGGAGAGCTGCTAATCAGTAGGACACAATAGTGAGATTTTGCACAAGTACCTGTAGCTTTTTTTAAATAGGTAGTATTTTCTTTTTTATATCTCCTTAATTTCTCAGTATACCTTTCCACGTAGAGAACAAAGAATTTTTTTAAAAAAATCTCTTTAAAGAACGCAACACAACCAGCCTCCTCTAAGTCTCATCTAAAATCCCATCTTTTACTGGAAGCCTTCCCCAACCCCTCAGTTCTGGGGCATTCTCTCTATTAGTCATTTCCTATTTATTCTTTATGTAGCTTGCTCTACATGTTCATATGTTGTTCCCTCCATTAGACTGTAAGTTTTTGAGAGCAAAGACTCTTTTGTGCCTCTTTTTGTATCCCCAGAACTTAGCACAGTGCCTGGCATGAAATAAGCACTTAATGTTTATTGACTGATGGATGAATGGATTGACTGACTGATTAAGTGGTGTAGTAAAAACTGTTCCACACACTTGGTCTTCCAAGTCTGAAAGGAAGAGGCTGCTGTCTTATTTCTTCTTTGGGGTCAAACTTGGTCACTAAGCTTACACAACTGTGGCATTTTGAAGTTTGGCACAGTCAATAAATAAAAAGGATTTATTTAGCACCGGCAAGGTGCCCAGCAATGTGCTAGGCACTGAGGATACAAATTTTAAAAAAGAGATAATCACTGTCCTCAAGGAACTTCAAGGAATTCTATCAAATAGCCTGTCTACATAGGCAATTTTCAATCATGGGTCCATTCAAATGTAATCCTTATGATGCAATGCAAAAAAAAAAAAGTTTGATTTGGAATCAGAGTACTCCTGGGTTTAAGTCCCTTCTCTGCTATTTGCTGTGTGACCTTGCCCAAATCACTTCCTGGCTCTAAGGCTCAGTTTCTTTAGCTGTAAAATGTAAGACCAGATTAAACTATACATAAAATCCTTTCTGGGGTGAGAGGTCACTTCAGATATTGATACCAATTCCTCTTGCAGGCATACAATTAAAAAAATTAAGGAAGGGAAGTGTTACTGAAAGATCAAAGAAAATGAAATTGAACCTTATGCCCTTAAAAAACAGTTAGATATCTTTCAGTGAACTGCCTTCTCCCAAATATCCAGGGTCTGCCAAGTGTAAATCCCCCTGCAGTCCAGCAGGGTCAGGAATTATCATCCACAGTGGTTCATCTTTGTGGTTTCCCCAGCACAGCATCACCAGATATTTTTCTTGGATATGGCCAACACCCTCTGGGTTGTTGGGAGCATTCTTTGGAGCTGATAGTACCCCCAATTTCTCTGTAATTTTCTCTTAAATACTAAATAGGCAACTAGGTGGGATTATTCAAATTTCCCTTAGGGCCTTGCAGGGTAAAGTATCATTCTCCAAGTCCCCCAAGCAAGATACTTTTCTCACAGAGAACTTACTCTTTTTTGGTGGGTGGGGGGAGGAGGAAGAAGTGGAAGGAGGGAATAATTGGGTAATACCCTAGAAACTGTCTCTTTCCTATCCTCTAGTACACCCTTAGTCTCTCTCTAGTGAACTCCTTCCCATCTTCCTGAAAATATGCTCAGGTTTCCCCAATCCCCCAAAATTTTCCTTTGACCCTTTGACCTTTGACCCGTCTAGTCCATTCACCTACCCCAATTCTTTGCTGCTCTACTACTAAAATGGTTGAAACAATTGTCTACCCTTAATGTTTACATGTCCTCACTAACCACTATCTCCTTTCAATCAAGTTTCTTTTCCCAGGATTCTAATGAAACCTTTCTTTCAAAAATTATCTCCTAATTGCCAAATCTAATGGCTTTTATTCAGTCCTCATACTCCCTGACATCTCCACAGCTTAAAGCTCTTCAAAACTTGGCCCATCTTACTTTCTGGTCTTATACCTTATTCCTCTCCCTTCACTCTATGGACCACTTATATTAGTCCACTTTCTGTTACTGACACATGACACTTCACCTTCCATATCTTCATGCATTTGCACTGGCTGTAACCCTTTCCTGGAATTTTCTCCCTCCTCATCAGGAAATAAATTAGAATTTTTTTTTCTCCCAGAAAGTAAAAAATGGATCTATTGTGATTTGACAGAGCAGGGAAACAACAGGATGAAACCCAAATTCAATTCACTTAGTCACATCATTTTCAGACTTCAAGACTATATTCACAAGACAATTTTACAAGCCGTCAAGGTAAAAGCATCACATAACAGAAAGTAACTTTTGAATTGCACAATATTTTTCTATAAAAATAAAAGACATAAAAAGTTGAAGTATAATAGAATAAGTTATTTACCCTGAAATCAGCTACCTACCATAATTAAGTATACTTTTTGAAGAAAAAATATAGTCTTTCAGAAATTCACAATAATTTGAAAAATGTGGGGATCCTCAAGACAATCTAGAGATTATAATGCGCAAAATCAACAAGGTTTGGGTTGTAATAGATGAGAGACAGACTGGTCTAATAGAAAGAACAATGGATGAAACCAGAAAAGATTATGGATTGAGAGGAAGTAGTGGATTGAGAGGAAGTTCAGCTCTCCTGAACACTAATCAGCAAAAATTGAGGAAGAGCACCAGATAAAGCAGTGATCAAGAAATCCAAAAAGAAATGGCACTGCTGCTTTTTCCTGCCCAACTTGGCACAGAGAACCTGAGGCTTGAGGGAAGGGGACCTAGTCACAAAAACTAGTACAGAAGCCTGCCAGGGTAAGGACCAGAAATGGTCCCTGCAGCTACCAATGGACCACGGAACTAACAGCAGGGGTGATTTTGCAGTTCTAGCAATCTAACCTCAGATCAGGGTCATGGAGCCTTCCACAATGCAGGTTGGGGGCTGCAGCTGTGTGCCAAAGCAAGAAGACCAAACGAATGGCAAGTCTGCAATTCTGTTGCTTATGAACCTGAGGAAGACCTGAAACCAGCAGCCGTCCAGTGGAGCTCTAATCGGAAGCTAGCTTGCAGACCCAGAACTGGGATTGTGAGACTGCAAAGTTCCAACTTGGAGAGTGATCTAGTCAATAAACATTTTAAAATTGCCAACTATATGCCAGTCATTGTGCTAAACCTGGGAATAAAAAGAAAAACAGAAGAAAATCCCTGCTGTCAAGGAGCTCAGTCTAATGTTGAAGACAACAAATAAAAAAAATCTGTCTGATCAAGCCCTACAGTTGACTAATTAGGGCACTGCACTTCTGAGGTGCCTAAAGAACAAAGCCTTCCCTATTCAAAGGGAGCACTATCAGAACCTCAGATAATACAGATTAGTAAAAGACAAGGCCCTACCATTCACCCCAGAAATGCACAGTCTGACCCTGTCATGAAATTCTAACATGGGAAGCAAAGCTGGAAAAATGAATAAGTAAAAGAAGATACTAGCAATAAAGAAATGTTATGGATCCAAGAATGTCTAATACACAAAGTTCAAAGAACAAAATCACCCCACAATATATACACAAGCAAAGCCTCACAGAATTGCTTGGCAACAATGTCAATTAAAATTACTGGAAAAAATGAAACAAGAGTTTAAAAAGCTACTAAAAATGGCATGAGAGCTCTTGATTAGTGGTTCTCAAACTTTTTGGTCTCAGGACCCTCTACACTGTTAAAAACTGAGGATTCCAAATAACTTTTTTTTTTTTTTGGCTAAGCAGTGGGGTTAAGTGACTTGCCCAAGGCCCAAGCTAGTAAGTGTTGTGTCTGAGGCCAAATATGAACTCAGGTCCTCCTGACTTCAGGGCCGGTGCTCTATCCACTGCACCACCTAGCTGCCTCCAAAGAACTTTTGTTTAGCTGTTTCATATCTGCTAATATTTAACATATTAGAAATTAAAACTGACAAACTTTTAAAATTTTATTAATTTTAAAATATCAATAATAAACTCCATTATGTTAGATGTTAACTATATATAACTAAACTAAATACCACAAAATAAAAAAAATTATTGAGAAGAGTAGCATTATTTTTAAAAATCTAATGTCTGGCTTAATAGAAGAAAACTGACCCCGCCTTTGAGGAGCACACATTCCCTTGAAGCCCCTGGGGGCTCGGGACGCCTCGAATGGCCCCTCTGAGGTTCATCCGGTCCAAGGGTCCAGCCGTGGGTCCCAGCCCTGGTGTGATTTACTCTGCCAGGGACTACGCACACAGACACAAAAAAGAACGGGTTCCTGCCTTGGAAGAGCTGACCTCGTCCTTCGGGACAGACTGGACCCCCATCGGACCCAGGCCTGTCCCAGCGACCAGCGCGGCTCCCCTCGCCCCAACCCCTACTCCCTAGGAAGCCTCGGACCCGGCGCGCTGCCAGTCGTCTTCCCTTGAGCTCTTTGAGGGCTGGGACGGTGTTTTTGCCTTTCTTTGTATCCTCAGTGCTTGGTACAGTGCCTGGCACATAGTAGGCGCTTCACGAATTTTTGTGATTAATTACTAGACTGAGCGATCTCTTGACAGGCCGGCAGTGACCCGGAAGGCTTCCCTCGCCCGCATTACGTCACTCGTACGGGACCGTAGCAGCTCTCTTGGAGCCTGGCTAGTCCCCGGATTCGGAAGGCTCTAATCCCGCCCACATGACGTCACTAATCTGAGACCTCTAGGGCTGCGGCCGAAACCATGCTTCTGCCTGCTGGGCACAGCCGCTCCTTGGTGTTCCG